TTCTCCTTGTAGAATTTGATGTTGATTTGTTTTGTTCTGTTTTTCTTCAGGTAATCCTTGTAGCCAATGAGACAGCAAAAGAAAATATTCCAGAAGAGTTAGGATTAGCACTTGTGCTAACAGTTTATGAAGCAAAAGGATTAGAATTTGATGATGTCCTCCTTTACAACTTTTTTACTGATTCTGAGGTATGTCAGACTGAATTCTTTTCCCACAGTGCACATATATGTGAGCTAAACTTCCACTGTAGGGGGGAGAATTTGAAGCTGAGGATAAGATGGTTTGTTACAGGTGCCTGCTTGTATTTGGAGCATCATTCATTTAGTGTGAGGTTCTGTGTGTTTGTTTAGATGTGGGTTTTGACAGTGGCTGTTTGTTGTTTCACAATGTGTCATGGGATGGTCTTCTTGTGCCCTGGTCTTCCCTGGCTCTCTGTGTTTGTCTTTACTGAATCTGTAGTATCCAGTGCATTGTCCAGTTTTCATTAGCCACTGTTATCCTTGGCTCCTACAGATACCCGTTGGAGCAAGCTCTAAGGAGACCCATACAAGTGAAGGCAAAGTTAGCAATGTCTACCCTATGAGGACAGAACTAGGCAAGGCTAGTTCATAGACAGAGAGCAGGAAGCCAAATGAAGCTAGGTTTCTGCCCTTTGGACCAGGTAATATGGTCCAGAACATTGCCCTTCATGGGAGCTCTCATGGGTACTCCCATGGACCACTATTGCAGCCCATGGAGATGATGGCAGGGAAAGAGCCCCCAGATTGACACCCATTGACTTTGGTGTTAGACTTAATTGCTTTCACTCAGCTCCTGAGTCCTTGTGATGGTTTTTCTCTCCAAGCTTAGTTCATTATGCATAGAGCTGCCAACTCAAGGTCGTTGTTGTGGTTTTTTTTAGCTACTGGTTTCTCTTTACTATCTTTTAGTGGAACTCAGGCTTGCTGCTAACTATGCTATGGCGGTTATCCTTTGGGGATTTAGCTGACTGTGTCCTTTGGGTCCTTGTTGCAGACTTCTAGTAAACATAGTGTATGCTTGAATGGAAAATGTTATACCAAAGTCAAGAGGACTGTTGTCTTTGACACCTTAAAATCTGCCCCAGAACTGTGCTTTTAAAATTTAGTCCTTACAGTTTTTTGGTCAGTTTTTTAATGCCATGTTTGCCTTAATAATTGCTATGACTAATATTGCTATGGCTACTTTGCAATTTATAAAGTACTTTTTGAAAGCATTTTCTTGCTTTACTAATCCTGTGAAGTTAC